GAAAGCTTTTCTAATTTTAAGTTTTTCTAGAAACTAGATAAAGTTATTCTAGTCTAGCTAGATCTAGCTATTAGTATTCTCTAGCTTCTAGGAAGTTCTAATACTATATATAATTATCTATATACTTAGTAAAGCTACTTAGGCTTCTAAGTATATAGCTTTAAGCTATAATTAGTTCTTTTCTAACTAGCTTTTCTTTTTCTTTCTATAAAGAATAACTTTAAAATTTCTATTTAGAAGTTTTTATATAGCTTTAAATTACTATACTTCGAGTATCTATCGGAGCTCTTTATAGCTTATCTTCTTTACTATTTCTCTTTTATTTTAGTTTTCTATTTTTACTAAAATAGTTATAAATACTTAAAGCTATAGCTTTAGTATTATATATCTAAATTAGGCTATTTAGGCCTATATTTTCGGAGTAGTAGTAGTAGATATTAGATAGCTCTAGAGAGTTTTCTAGATTATTTATAGAGTCTAGGACTCTACTTAGTAAAGAGTATAGTAGAGAAAAGTCTACTAGACCTACTAAAGAAAAAGAAAAGTTAGAAAAAGAAATAGAGTCGACTAGAAGTTAAAGTAGTTCTAGATCTATTCTATAAATATCTTTAAGTTCTTTTAGATTATTATTTTTAGATTATTAGTATTAGTATTAGTTTTTTAGTTTAGAAAACTAGAGAGAAGTAGTTATAAGTAGATTTAGACTATCTAGAAGTTAGAGATATAACTTCTTTCTTCTAGACTTTCTTTTCTATTTATAATATTATAGTATTAGTCGGAGAGTATTATTATATATTAGAAGGCCTCGAGGCCTTCTACTATTATTATTATTATCTACTAGAGTATACTTATATTCTATTTTCGTTAATTTATTATCCGAGCTTCTATTTAATATAATAGTAAAAGTTCTAGAAGTTATAGTTACTAAAAGAATATTTAAGAAAACTAAAAAAAAGAAAGCTTTTTCTAGAAAAATAAATAGATACTAGGCCTAGTAGATCTACTATTTTAGTATTAGACCTTATTACTAAATAAGTAAAAACTATCTAGAAAACTAA